GCCAATTTATAAAGCTGCCAAAGTATGTGTGTTAATTAGCAAATATAAGCAAAGATCTTGAATTAGGGTCTTGTAACTTCTTAAAAGATGTAGAGCAAGAAACTAGATTTGGTAGGATATGTACGCACTCTTAAATTCTCCTGATGCACTCCTAAAATGCCTTGATTTGCTTTTTGTTTTTTCCTGTGTGGGTTTGGTTTTTACTGGGTTTTGTTTGCTTGGTTGCTTTTTTTTTTTTTTTTTTTTTTTTTTCCAAACGTTTAAACTGTAAGACTTTAAAGAAGGGTATTTGATGAACAGCTTGGTTCTTGTTTTTATCTTTTGAACTGGTGATTTTTGAGTATTTTTTTTCTTACTATGCTTCTAGAGGAATATACCATTAATCACCAGCGAACCTCACTTAAAAGACATTGGCAGCATTTCTAACTTGTGAACATTTTGCTCATTAAAAATTGAGTGGCAAAAAAAAAGGGGGGGGGGACAGTTTTTGTAATGCAATGATCCTCTTTGGTTTCATGTATTGATTTCTTTCCCAGAAGCTTATCGCCTTGGCCAGAATCTTTGTTGGTACCAAACAATTTGATTGACGTGCTACCGGTTTGCTATTGTTGCTGTTGCAGACCCACAAGCTTAGTTGCTGTTGCTTTCTTTTATTTGTTTATTATGGTTTTTATTGTGCTTATTATTAGATTTTGAGGTATGAGTGTCCTGGAAGTTTTACATTACGCAGCTTTCATGATGAATCCCAGTTTATGAATATTAAACATTATCATTTGAACTGATCCTCAGCATTTGTTTATGTTATGTTTAAATACAGTTAAAGCTTTATTTCACTTGTTGGCTAGCTTTCTAATTGTTCTTGATTAATTTTTTCTTTCATCAAAAAATGAAAAAAGCCAATACCTGATGAACCTTTTAAAAAGACAAGCTAATCACTGCTATGAAACTTTTAATTACTCTGAAGAAGCTGCTAAGCACCTTTGGTTTTTGTGTGGTATTTCCTTTCAGTAAAGCATGTAAGTAATTTTTGCTATATCGACATCTTTGAAATTTTAAAAAGGAAGAGCCTGACTCCAGATTTATTTTTATCAGATACTAATGTCTTTTTCATGAAATTCTCTTTTGATGGCTTACAGCTGAAAGGTAGGCAGGATAAATGGCTGTTGCCTTCCCATCAGAAGACTGGCAGTGGAGTAATTCCTAAGGGGCATGCTCTGAAGAGGCCACTCCTGCCTCAGCTGCGGGTCCTGTGCTGGGAACTGCCAGGCAGGCAGTGGCTTCTGGAAGTGAGGAGGAGTCTGGCTGAATTTGGATTTATGCTCTGTGTTTGTGACTCCAGTGTCGTTAGAGCAAAGGAGCCTTATTCTAACGTAGGGAAGGTGCAAAGCTAAGGTTGGAGTTCGCAACCTTTTCTCATTTGACATTCCTGTATCCATGCCCCCGTTCTGTTGAAGCTAATTATACAGCTCTACAGATCAATTCCCCTCTGGATTAACAGACTTCTACCAGTGTAATTATTCTGCTGTCTGAGAAGAGATGCTAAAGTCAGCACAGCTGTGTGCAAAGGCTTGGGGTGCAGACTGTACTGCTGACATGCTGAAATGCAACAGTGAGAAGGTAGTTGCACATCATGGCTGAATAGGAGAGGTTTTTTTGTTCACCTCTTCTTTCTTCTTAAAAACATCAATAAACT